CCCTGCCATCCTCAGTCTCTGACTGGGAGCAACCCTTGGAAAATGCGGCCTTGCTGTGATGCAGTAGTGGATTTCAGAGCTCAGCAGCTGGAACAGCAGTCAATTATGCCCTCCTTGGTCGGAGATCTGAAAGGCTCATGTTCATGGCCACCACACCTGGGCAAATTCTTTCACTTCTCTGAGAGTTCCTTTCATATAAAAGGTATACCACAGCATACCAACAAGAGTAAAGGGATGGGGCTTCCCTGGTGGCGCAGTGGTTTGAGAATCCACCTGCCGATGCAGGGGACACGGGTTCGTGCCCTGGTCTGGGAAGATCCCACATGCCGCGGAGTGGCTAGGCCCGTGAGCCATGGCCATTGAGCCTGCGCACCGCAACGGGAGAGGCCACAACAGTGAGAGGCCTGCGTACCGCAAAAAAAACAAAAAGAGTAAAGGAATGAAAAATGGAATAACATACTTCCAGGCACTCCAAATTATCCAGCTAAGGGATCTGAACTTGTTTGTCACAGAAATCTCAGTGATTGTCTAGGGTGAGAACCCTAGATTGTCTAGGGTTGTAAGACCCAGAGAGAAGAACCCAGTATTCTGGAGTGTGGGTGTTCTACCTCCCTTACAACAATTTGCCAAGTTGTACAAACTATGGTTCCTAAAGGAATTTCACGTCTTTTTTTGGCGGGGGAGAGGGAAGGGTCTTAATCAGAGAAGCAAATGTTAGCATCTGCTAATGTATTTGTTTCCTTTCCTTGACTCAGGCAGCAAGTGACTCAGGTGAGGGAAGGGGCATATTGTTTGTCTAGTGATGTTAAGTACTGTCACTCTCTCTACCTCGTCAGGATACCACCTTCATGAGAGGAACTGGGGTCATGGCCAACTCTAGGGCTACCACTGGAGCCCGAGCGCCACAATTAGAGAGCCTGCATGCCACAACTAAAGAGAAGCCTGCACTCCACAACTAGAGAGAAGCCTGCGCATGGCAATGAAGATGCCGTGTGCTGCAACTAAGACCCGACACAGCGAAAAAAAAAAAAAAGACAAAAGACATCAGGAGTAGGTACACATGGTAAATGCTTTATTTTCATATTAACATTAAAACATAAAACACAGAACATGAAGAGATCCCACTGTCCGGTTTTCAAAGCAGGTACAAGGATATATACAACAAGAAAATATTTTTGAGTCTGCTTAACTCCAAACCCTCAAATGGGAAAACAACCTTAGAGCCAGGGTAAGGGAACATGGTGGGGCAGAGTCTGGGTCTACAGAGGTAATCTCTCCTGCCAGGCAGAGGTGAGCGGGGGCAGGGGCAAAGTTTTTTTCCTTTGGAGAAATCAGTCACAGTCCCAAGAATTTGCTTCTAAAACATCTAAATTCACTAAAGGAATGAAGGATTGGTAAGACATGAGATTCTTCCAACTTCCCTAGTAATACAAGTCCCTTGGTTCCTACACTTGGGGGGATTAATCAGCATCAGCTGAGTGTACTTCAACAGTCAAATCCTAACCCTGCCCTGGGTTCTGCCTCTGCCAAAGACAAAGGCAGCCAGGGCCTGACCACTTGCATCCTCTCTGTTATCATCAGCTGAAACCAGATGAGCTCTGCTTTTTTTTTTTTTTTTTTTGGCTACATTGGGTCTTGGTTGTGGTGCGTGGGCTTCTCATTGTGGGGCCTTCTCTCGTTGTGGCTCTAGGTGTGTGGGCTTCAGCAGTTGTGGTATGCAGGCTCAGTAGTTGAGGCTCGTGGGCTCTAGAGTACAGGCTCAGCAGTTGTGGCACACAGGCTTAGCTGCTGTGGGATTTTCCCGGACCAGGGCTCGAACCCATGTCCCCTGCATTGTCAGGCGGATTCTTAACCACTGTGCCACCAGGGAAGCCCCCCCCTACTATATTCTTAATCACAAGTAATCTGCCTAATCAATGAAGCCAGAAACCATCCTAAACACCTAGTCATTCTTCCCCTCCCTTGTCCCCTACAGTCAATCACCAAATCCTCATGATTCTACCTCTAAAATATTTCTCAGTCTTCCCCCTTTAAATCCATCCTCTGCACTCTACAAATCTGCCTGTTCCATCCCACGAACTCCCTTCAAAATAAAGACTAAACTCTAGCAATATATATAAAACCCTCCAAGATCTACCTCTCCAAGTCTTTTTTCACTGCTATTTGCTGCCTCACTCTTTGCACTCCAGTAATAATAGTTTCTTGCCCACACTGTGCTGTATCATGCTTCTGCTTTTCTCTATACCTCAAATATTCCTTCCTTTCAACTAATTCTTATCCTCATCATTTAAAGCTCAGCCCAAGTATCATGCACCCCAATAAGTAACCACCCCCACATGCCCATGGCCTGTGTAAACTGGTGATTATCTCTCCTTAGCTCTTAACAAATCGTACTGAAATAATCTATTTATATATCTTTAACTGCACTAAACTGTAAGAGTGTTGAAGGCAGAGATCTTATCTGTAACTCCAACAACTCGGTACACATGAAAGCTCAACCTTTGTTGAACTGAACTATAATTTTTCTCATTTCCCTCAAAGAGACAAGAGAATAGGGAAAAAAATATGTCACTGAAACACAAAATCCTCACTGCAGTAATCAATTCTTGCTCACAAAAAGAGCAAGAATAAAACTAAAAATATTCCTTCCTCATAAGATTTCCTTCCTTTTCACAAAATCCCTGACCCCAAGCAATATTTGATGCCAACAATTATGGCTGCAAATTGTCTTGTGCTAACAAAATTATAATGATGATACAAGCATAAACTCAGTTGATAATTTGCTGTTGAGGTCTTGAGTACACAATTTTATATCAAAACAACAAAACAGCACATTATATATGAAGGATTCTTAACAAATTATCTAGGATTAATCTAATGTGCATTCTTTCAAACAAATTTTTGCTGAATAAAAGAAAAGGGAAACAAAAGTGGACAAAAAAATATGAATAAGAAAACTGTAAAAAGATCACAAATCAAACTTTAAAGGCAACAAAGTCTGGGTTTCCCCATAAAATTTAGGTATATATAAGTTATAAATTGCCTATGTAAAGAAAATATGCATGCAAAGTTCTGGAGTAGGCTCCTGAGGGAGTTACTAGAGGAAGAGCCCCTGGACTGGGAGTTATCAGTCCTGAATCTATCACTAGTTAGCTGTAACACTGATTAGACACTAATTAAGTCATGCAATCATTCTAGCATTTCATTTCCTCAACAGCAAAAGAAGTTATTGGACTTCGGATCTATGCATTTCACTACATGTAAATTTTACCTAAAAAAAGAGCTGTCAAAACAGGAGAGTCGCGGAGCACAGGCTCCGGACGCGCAGGCCCAGCGGCCATGGCTCACGGGCCCAGCCGCTCCGCGGCATGCGGGATCCTCCCGGACCGGGGCACGAACCTGTGTCCCCTGCGTCGGCAAGCGGACTCCCAACCACTGCGCCACCAGGGAAGCCCCTGAGCTCTGCTTTTTAATTCAAATCCTTTTCTGCCACTGAAGCTCTAGGCCTGGGCAGTCATTCTTAGTCATCCTCTAGAAAAGGGGGCTCTTTCCCAGGCTCTGGAAACTGGCTTTTTGAAAGATGTCTTTAAATAGGAGGCCGCTCTTTAAAAGCACAACTAGAATGTGGAACTCTGAGGAAATCTACTGCAATAACCCCTTGCTGGTAAGAAATGCTGGAAACAGTTCAGGAGTTGACTGTCAGAACTGTTTTAAAATAAAAATGATAAAATTTCTACAATTATTTAAGAAAATTACACTGTTAGCCATCCTGCTCCCAAGAACAAGGAGCACACACCTTGAGACATGTTCTGTTGTGGACAATAGTTGAGAAGAGTAGCCTTTAGCAAAGCAAACAGATATAAAGTGAGCCCTCTATTGGAGAAAAGTGCAGCTCCCAAAGTTGGACAATCCAGGGCTGAAATGAAAGCTGGTGGGCATCTCCCTGCAAACCACATAGGCCTCCAACCACTATTATCTTCCTGAGAATAACTGTTCTACTAACAACACTTTTTTTTAAAGTTAGGAAGGGAGGCAAATCAGAGGAACTTGGAATCAAACATCAGTTTCACCTGGGGGAAGCATTTAACCTGGGAATTCTAAACACGCTCAAGAATGGCTCCTCACTCCAAGGGGTTGACTTTATTCAGAGAGAAACTCTTTGAAAATGGAAAAGACAAGCCCTTTTTTTGCTTTCAACAGCAGTCTGAGTAGCTTCTCTTTTGTAAGCCTCTCTTGGTTATTAGCCCCTTGCTTCTGATCTCTCACACTAGGAGACTCAAGTAAGAACTCTGACATATGGCTCATCTTTTCCTAGTGAGAGGGACAAAGAGTGGCCTTCAAAGCATTGGCTTATATAAAACCAATCCTGAGATCCTAAGCTGGCTAGAAAAAAAAGTGAGTCTTCCTCACTGCCCAAACAACTGGTCTCTTTCCTTGACTCCCACAATGTGATGAACTCCGTATACTCGGCATTAGGGAAGGGTCTACAGCTCATCAGCCACCACCATCACTGGGTTTACCAATATCCCAGTACTGCACACCTGAACATTACTGTTCCTGCCACAAAGCAGACCAGATGTGCTCTACCACACACTTCTGTAGGGATGAGACCAAGTTACCAAAAGGTTATCAGCCAGCAAGGTCAGAAATAGATGAAATCCTTTGGAAGATTCTACAGTGCCCTCTTGTGTTCAACTAAAGATTCTTTTGCATCCAGGCTGCATCCAAGCAGCATCAGGAAGATGGTTAGTCCCTTCAGGAACATACGCATTCCGAAGTCATATAGCTCAAGTGACAAGACCACTCTGGTGGGATGTCACATCCTCTGGAAATGCTTGGTGCATACACATATCCTAAATGACTTCTGGGAGGATACTCTCCGAGGTTCAGAAAATTTGATAAAAGATATTGATTCTCAACGAAGATTCATGAAGGCTTTTACCCCCAAGAAATGTATAATGTGATGGAGTACCAGTCACTGACTCTTTCGATGGACACTGCCACGATCCCAAAAGTTCTAGGCCACAGACAATAAGCACAGATCTTGCTCAGGGCTGCCAGGTGCTAAGAAACAACATTTAACATTAACCAGCAGCATGCCCGACATGTTTCAAGACCATGGTCACTCCCACCTATGGATGTGGACCATCTTCTCTGTTAAGGTAGCCAAGTAGCTGTTATGGTTCACCTGAAATGGGCAGATGTCCAAGACAGGCTGATTAGCCTGCAGTTCCTGCAGCAACGAGCCACTGCCAGCATCCCACAGCTAAAAAAGAAAAGGAGAGATAAAGGTCAGCTAGGTCCCTTCAATTCAGCTAGGGACTTGCATTCTTTATCATCGCACAACTTTGAAAGCACTGCAGAGACAGCACTGCCTGGGGAGCAAAACAGACTGTCCCTAACCTTCACAAGGTTGCACAAAGCCAACACACCTGACATAGGTCATGTATGGCCTCACCTACTAAAATCAGCAATTAGTCTACCTGTGAGTGGATCTGAAAACCAAGCCTAGTATTCACCCCTTCAATCTATGTGCCAAGAACTCTTTTAGGGAAAG